GATATGGGAGTTGATGGTTTCCTCTCGGTTTGATCAATTCACGGGTTTATGGTGTTTAGCATCTGGTTTACTAAATCCAGAATATTCCACAGAAGATGCAAATACTCAAGACTGGTTTCTCACCTCCGTAACAGCAGTAACATACTCAAGTCAAATGTAGTTGTAATTTGTTGTAGATTTCTCTAGATTTTAGCTAAGTCTTTTGCTATATATGTACGTAATCAGTTCTCAATCAATACACACAAATATTCAGACTCTTTCTTTTTAAAAGATACAAATGAAATCTCGATACAAAGATAATCAAAAGATAATCAAACAGAGATACAAAGATTTGCATTTTCATTAGATACAAAGACAAATAAAATCTCGATAGAGATGATGAAATTACCTGTGCCATCTTCCTGCTGAGGTTCCAGATCTTGAGGTTCTGGATCTTGAGGTTCCAGATCTAGGCGGCTAGGGTAAGAAGCAAAGGAAATGACACTCCCTTCTTTATTTCCCGTGACTCCTAATTCTTATTTTTCAGAAGAATTTGTTTTCCCATTGTAAAATTGTAACACTTATTTTCCAGAAGAATTTCATTTCCCATTTGTAAAATTTGGGGGTTTTGTTTCATAGAAAATATTTTTTTCTGCTTGAATTTTTTCCCAAAAATAACAAAACAAATGAGACAATCACAAGAATTAGCAAAATTTCTTTTTCAATTTGAGGTTTTAATCTCAAGCTCAAAATGATTTCTTTCCAAAAAGAATTACCAATAACACAAAGAAGAGACAATCAAATGAATTGGCAAAATTTCTTTTCAATTTAGAGGTTTTAATTTCAAGCTAGAAAGGATTTCTTTCCAAAAATAATTACCAATACCACAAAAAAGAGACAATCAAATGAATTGGCAAAAAAAAAAATTCAATATGAGGTTTTAATTTCAATCTTGAAAGGGGTTTTTTCCCAAAAAAAAAAAAATTATAATTACAAGAACACACAAATGAACAATCAAAAGAATTAGCAAAAATACACGAAAAGAGACTAATAGATGGAACACCAAATGCAAAGAAATTACTAATCTGATATCTAAATTCTTTATTTCTTTTTGTTTTCAATGTAGAAATAGCTCCGATGACCAATCCATGTCCAGATTCCAATACCGGTGATCCGGCCAGAACCGGTGATAGGATGAGATTGGCTCCATCGAAGCTAAAAAGAGATGGAAAACAAGAACAAATAAAACATGTGAACGAAGACTTAAACAAACACATCAAAGAAGAAAAGCAAAAATTGAAAGAACAATTTGATGAGATAAAAAGAAACAAGAGGTTGTCGTTTAGGTGATGATATAAGAATGAATGTGAATTACTCAATAGGAAATGTGGCGTTTATATAGATGGTTGAGGTGATTAGGTCAAGATGCACTTAAGGCACACGTTTCTATATTTCTTAATACTAGTACTATTTTATTTTACATTAGTATTAAAAATTTGAATTAAATATGCCGGATATCACGCATAATATCTTACTTACCTTATTTGTTTATTTTTTTAACGCTTACGAAAATCTCTTCCCTTTTTTTTTTACAGAAGTAATATTCTCCTCCTATTTTTAAAAATTGAATTCTAATCTACCGGATCTCACGCCATAAATCTTTTAACCTCTTCGTTGCTCTTTGGTGAACACGATAAAATCTGCTTAAAATCTGTACTTATTTAGTTACCAATATTAAAATTCACTTTTCTTTTTATATACAAGCGTAATTTAATTCTACTACACCCAAAGTATCAG